ACCTTGTAATTACTCTCACTCCTCAGCAAGTCAAGGCCCTGGGGATCACTCTCACCCCTCAGCAAGTGAAGGCCCTGGGGCTCACGCTCACCTCTCAGCAGGCCCAGGCTCAGGATATTACTCTTCCTCTGGGGAAGCACCATGTTTCGGGTGTTACAATGTCACATGAACAGGCCCAGGGATTGAGAACTACTCTCACTCCGGAGCAAGTCCAAACACTGAAAGTCCCTATTACTCCTGAGTATACAGAGACACTAAAAACATCTGTCACTTCTGAACAGAATCAGGCAATGCCAGTCCCACTAGAGACTGAGCAGGCCCAGTTATTTGGGGTCCCACTCTCCCACAGTCAGGGAGTTACTATCATGCCAGGGCAGACTGAGACATTTGGTGCCACCCTCACCTCTGAGCAGGTTCAGGCATTGCAGGGCCATCCTGATCCAAAACAAGCACAGTCATTGATGTTCACTCTTACTCCTGAGCAAGCCCGGACTTTGGGTATCACACTTACCCGTGAACAAGATCAAGCAGCAGCTATCACCCTCAACCCTGAGCAGGCACAGGCATTAGAAGTTCCTCTTACTGAAGAACAGGTTTGGAAACTGGGGGCTTCTATCACTCCAGAAAAAGCTCAAAAAGCACCAAGCATTATTCTGAAGCAGTTGCAAGCCTTGGGAGTCACTTTCTCTCATCAGCAGGCTCAGGCATTTCACACTCCTCTCACCTTAGAAGAGCCTGCCACATTGGCTCCTTCCACTCTCAGACCATTTGAGGAATTAAAGACTTCTCTTCCCACTGGGCCATCCATTATATCAAAATTATCTCCAAGCCTTAGGCAGCCCCTGACATCATCATCTATTGCTGAGAAGTCATCTATATTTAAGGTCACTTCTACTCCTTTGCAGAAACCAAGGCCTTTTTTCACCCAAGTTCCCTTTGCCCCTGGGGGACACCTCAGAAAGAATATTCTTTCTGACTCTGGGAAGCTCCTGGCACCACAAATCTTTCCTACCTCTACGCAGATCCCATTGTATAAAGGTGGAGCCACTCCTTCCCAGTCCCTGCCACCAGAGGTCTCGTCCCACCTTGGGCAGCTCCCAATATCTGGGGCCCCGGCCATTCCAGGGCAGTCCCTTAGTTCTAGCCAGTTCTTCATCTCTAGGAGCTCTCTGACTCCTCAGCCACTTCCAATATCAGAGGCTTCTCTCAACCCCAGGCTACCTCTTATATCCAGAGTCCCACTCACCTCTGGACAGATTCCCAGACACTTGGCTTCTCTTTCTCCTGAACAGCCCTTGGTTCCTGGGGCCTCTTCCATCCCCAGGGAGCACCTGGAATCTGGACTCTCAGCCATCTCAGAGCAACCCCAGGCATTCCAACCTCCTGCTACCTCTGAGCAGTCTTCCTTTCTTCAGACCCCTTCCACCCCTGGGCAGCATCTTGCACCATGGACCCTTCCTGGACAAGCTTCCCCATCATGGATCTCTCCCACTACTGGGCATTCCTCCACATTATGGACCCTCCCAATTCATGAGAAACCCAAGAAAGCTTTTCCCTCTTCTGTCACTCAGAAAAGATTGGAAACTATTTCTTCTCTGAAGACTAAATCATCATTGATCCAACCAAGTGTCCCAGATTTCAAGGTACCTCAAGTTCCTTTCACCACTAAGAAGGTCCAAATATCTGAGGAAGAAACCCCGATGTTCCCAGAGACTTTTGTCATGGAACCATTTCAGTCTTACCTCACCAATTATAGGACACCAGAATCACAAACCCCTTATATTGATGAGGCAACCCTTTCCACTCTTGGAAAGCCTATAACATCATTAGCTTCTCTTAGTACTCAACTACCCAAAACATCACAGATCTTACCTTTTGAATGGGACCAGAAATCCCAACTTCCCCCTATAGACAAGTCCTGGATACTGACTTCAGTTTTAGGTGCCAAGAAAACCAAGATGATGGTGCCCCCTTCTTCTCTCCAAGACCTTGAAGAGAACAGGTATTTTGTTGATGTGGAGGCTCAGAGGAAGAACCTGATACTATTAAAACAGGCCACCAAAACTTCTGGACTCCCTTCACAGCAATATGCAATAGCCTGTAATCTTATAATTGAGACACTTCATATGGACACAGTTCGGCTGGGATACTTGTTCCGCAAGTACATTGCCTATAGACTGATCCAGCGTGCCAGGTAGATGTAATTATTATATATCCAGTTTTCTGATATAGTCCTGATTGCCTAGAAGTATATTCATATGTGGCAGATCATGGATCATATGCTCTAAAACATTCTCTTACAGAGGTTCTGTGGGAAGCTTGTTTAAGATAGCAAAAGGAGATGTATTTCTTTAGGAAATAAGAAATGATATGTAGCCAGGTGCCAGTGGTTCACATCTGTAATACTAGCTACTTGGGAGGCTGAGGTGAGGAGAATGGCAGTATGATGCCAAGGCCAGTCTGGGGGAAAAGCTCATGAGACCCCATCCCAACCAATAGCTGGACATTGGTTTCCCAATAGTTGGGTATGGTGGTGCGGACCTGTCATTCTAAGTTACACGGGAGGCTAAGAACAAGATTGTAGTTTCAGGGCAGTGAGACCCCATGTCAGTGGAAGAAAGCTGGGTGTGGTAGGGCATGCCTGTCATCCCAGCTATGGAGGGAAGCATAAAATAGGAGGATCATCTTTTTTCCTCCTCTTCCTCCTCTTCCTCTCCTCCTCCATTTAGAAAGTGTTTTACTATGTAGCGCAGGCTGGCCTCGGGCTCTCAATCCCCCTGCCTCAGCCTACTGACTGGTGGGATTACAAAATTATAGGTGTGTGACACCATACCTGGCTTTCTTCTTTTTTTTTCCTGAAGGTGATCATTTATTCATCCAGCCATCTTTTCAATAAGCTTTCTCTTCTCCTCTCTTCTCTCCTCTCCTCTTCTCTCTCTCTCCCCCGCACCTTATACTAGGGATTGAGCCCAGGGTCTTGTGCATCATAGACAAGTGTACTACTGAAATGCATTCCCAGCCTCTTGCCTTTCTTTATAGTATTCCTTCAACCTGGAATTCCTCATTCTCTTCTTCCCTGTTCTGTTGGTGAACACATGGTTTTCAAACTTTAGTAAAGTAAGTTTTATCCCATTCTGTTTAAAATGCTGATTCCTCATTTTTATTCAAAAGGTCTGGGGAGCTGGGGGTTGTAGCTCAGTGATAGAGTGCTTTCCTAGCATGTGTGAGGCCCTGGCTTTGATCCCCAGCACTGCAAGAAAAAAAAGTTATTAGCTGAGCTAAGTGGTACACGCCTATAATCCCAGAACTTGGGAGAGTGAGGCCAGTCTGGGCTACATAGTGAGACCATGTCTCAAAAAACAAACAAAATGTTCTGGGGAAACACCTTGGTATCTGCCTTTTCAACAAGCATCCTCAAATAAGTCAATCCAGGCAACAGGGTTCATACTTTGAGAAATATTGCTACTGTGAAAAGAAAGAACATCTGGATTTGCTTCCCAGATTTGCTATTTATTAATAGCAAATGTAAGTAACGGAAGTGGGGTATGATGGAACAGTAGAAGCTTTCTCTGTTTGACTCTATAAATGAGAAGAGTCAGAGTAACAAAGGAGAGACTATATTTTGAAAAAAGAGGAAGAACACCAGGAACCATGAAAGAGGGACAGGAAAGCTAAAAAGTACAAAGAAGCAGAAAAGCAACAGGAAATTTAAGAAAGAATCTGCAACTCTTGCCCTGGCTCCTCACAGGGAAGGGGAAGCTGAAGCCTCCACCACAAAGTAAGCTAAGTGGCCCCAGTGACAGACTGGCAGACCTAGCTGTGGGACAAGCCCACATTTCCCAGAAGCCTTAAACCTAGTGCAGGTATTCAGTACAACTGTGCCTTCTCCTATGTAACAGGTTAGTATGGGAGAAGAAAGACATTTTTTCACTCTCCATATCTCCTAGGGCTGCAGTAAGCCACCATCTTAAAGGGAGGTGAGCTATTTTTGAAGACTGAGATACTCTGGAGACTTACAAAACAAGAAATACTATCTTAGGGAGTCTTGGGACACCCTGCCACAGCATATTGGTGGGAGATGGCCAGGAGAGGTGGTCATGGAGACTCAGAGGGCCTGACATTGGCCTACTGAGAAGTTTAAGTAGTAAGAAGCTCAGGCAGCAAAGTGGTCAGTGGCCCTGCCTCCCTGGTAAGGAGCAAGTCGTATCATCTGAGGATCACTGTAGAAACACAGCATGACCCTATGGTTGGTGGAGTGTTTGGCCTCTGGGAGATGTCTCTCATGCCTGTTAAGGGTTGTTTACTGCCAGATGGAACTGAGCGCACTGAGTCCAGGTTCTGAAAAACCATGCAATTTCTCCAGTCTACCCTGGCACACAAGGTGATGAACTGCTAGGTGGGTCTGAAAGCACTGAGACCAGCAGTCAGAGCATCTGAGTCTTCCAGTCCAGAACTCAGTATCTGCACTACCCGATACTTACAGGGAACACCAGGCTTAGATTCTTGCTGCCCTAGGGGCATAAACTAGAGGACCTGTGGAGCAAGTGGGAACCTACCTAATCCACAGGTTTCAAAGATCCTTGCAGCCAGCAGTGCTTCTACTACCAAAGAAAGTAGGTTCTAAAGTGAAAGCAGAACAGAAGTGAACAATTGACCCTTGACAAGCAGTACAGAAGTGGACAACTGACCCTGCCCTCAGCCCACATAAAACACTGACCTGTACACTAGGAACTACAAGATAGCCCAGCTAATTTTCCTTTATCTGAGTAGTGCTGCAGGACTGGTGTCCTGAATATTTGGGCTAATGTTTCGCTAATGAGCTGCCACCACAGTCCAGTGATGAGGAACTGCACCCCAACCCTGCCATTTTAGTCTTACCTGAGCACTGAGAATATTTCACCCAAGAGACTACAGGTGATTAAAAGTCTCAGTCAAGTACTTGGCCTCAAAAGCATAAATTCTAGTGCAGAAACACAAGAAATATGAAAAAACAATGCAAAACGACTCCTCCAAAAGAGCTTGTCCACAAGAATGAACTGTAATGAAAGTGAAGTAGATGAAATTGCAGATAAAAAATTCAAAAGAATGATTAGTACAATAATCAATGAAATTAAAGAGGACACATAAACAACTGCAGAAATTCAAAGAGAATATAAATAAACAGCTGAATGAACTCAGAGACTACAAATAAATAGGTAGAAATAAGAAAGAAAATTCGAGGTACAAAAGAGGAATTCAATAAAGATATAGAAATTCTGAAAAAATCAAATTGAAATTCTGAAAATGAAAAAGTCAATACATCAAGTAAAAAACCCAGCCAAAAGTCTAGCCAATAGACTGGATCAAGTTGAAGATAGATTATGGTGCTTGAAGACAAATTAGGTTAGTCAGAACATTCAGATAAAGACAAAGAAAAAAATAAGAATGTATAAATGGAACATGCAAGGCCTTAGAACATCCTTAAAAGACCAAACCTGGGCCAGGAATGGTGGCTCATGTCTGAAATCCCACCTATGCAGGAAGCAGAGATAGGTGGATCACAGTTCGAAGCCACCCAAAAAAGATAGACTATTTCAAAAGTCAAACTGGGTGTGATGGCACATGCCTGTAATCCTAACTACACAGGAGGCTGAGATAGGAAGCTAGATGTCCAATACTGGCCACAGGCAAAAATGTAAAACTCTGTTTGAAAAAAAAAGCTACAGTAAGAATGGGCTGGGGGTGTGGTTCAAGTGGTAGACAGCTTTTCTAGCAAGCACAAAACTCAGCTTGCCTGAGTTTTAATCCTAGTCCTGTCAAAAAGAAAAGATAAAAAGACTAAATGCTAGAATCATAAAAGAATGAGAAGAGGTGTAAGGTAAAGACATAAAAAACATATTAAAAAAAATAGTAGAAAATTTTCCAAATCTTGAGGGACAGTCAGTAGGGTTTTTAGGACTCTTCAAGAGAGAAGCACAAAGTCACATCTAAAGACAAAACCATCAGATTAACAGCAGATTTCTCTACAGAAACTCTAAAAACAACAAGGGCATGGAATAATGTATTTCAAGCCCTGAAAGAAAGTAACTACCAACATAGATTACTGTATCCAGCGAAGCTGTCCTTCATAATTGAAGGATAAACAAAAACCTTCCATTAGAACAAAAACTAAAAGAATTTATGAGCACCATGCCATCACTGCAAAAGATACTTAAAGCAAACCTACACACAGAAGAGGAAGATATGTGCAACCATGAAAATACAGGAAAAAATAAATCTCACTAGATGAGTAGATAAACAAATGAGGATTTGGAAAGAATCAAACATTACAAAAATGACAGGAATTACTACATACCTTTCAATAATTACTCTGAATGTCAGTGGTCTCAATTCAAAAGAGACAGACTGGTAAATTGGATTAAAAAACAAGACCCAACCATTTGTTGCCTACATGGAATGTACCTCACTGGCAAAGACAAATAGAAGTTTATGGTTAGCAGTCTGCAAAAAACTGAAACTAGATCCATGTATATCACCCTATACCAAGATTAACTCAAAATGGATCAAGGATCTTAATATCAGACCCCAAACTCTTAAGTTGATACAAGAAAGAGTAGGAAATACTCTGGAGTTAGTAGGTATAGGTAAGAACTTTCTCAATGAAACCCCAGCAGCACAGCAACTAAGAGATAGCATAGATAAATGGGACTTCATAAAACTAAAAAGCTTCTGTTCATCAAAAGAAATGGTCTCTAAACTGAAGAGAACACCCACAGAGTGAGAGAAAATATTTGCCAACTATACATCAGACAAAGGACTGATAACCAGAATATATAGGGAACTTAAAAAACTAAATTCTCCCAAACTAATGAACCAATAAAGAAATGGGCAAGTGAACTAAACAGAACTTTCTCAAAAGAAGAAATTCAAATGGCCAAAAAACACATGAAAAATGCTCACCATCTCTAGCAATAAAGGAAATGCAAATTAAAACAAAGATTCCACCTCACCCTGTTAGAATAGCCATCATCAGCACACCACAACACAGGTGTTGGCGAGGATGGGGAAAAAGGAACCCTCTTACACTGTTGGGGGATGTAGATAGTAAACCACTCTGGAAAAAAATTGGAGCTATTAAAAGCGGACTCGATTACTCCATTTTGATCCGCATACCCTCTTGGGGATCTTATACTCAAAGGCTGTGACCCACGGGTT